TTGTAGCACCGTGCTGTTCATAATCACATATAACCTCTCCCATACCTTCTACATCACAGTGCTGTGCCTTTCTCTTACGTTTATTGTCGTTGGAGACAATATCCCGAGACATTTTGCAAAAAAAAAGTAAAGTTTGCGTTCTTCGAATGTGATGTCTAGCTAAGACTGTAGAGTGCCAAAAAAACGTTAGTAGCTAACTTGCGAATTACCTTGCCGTTTTCCAAATTACTTTCTCAATTCGTAGAATGGAAGGTACAGTTTCGAAATTTGTTGGTTTCGTTCTTGGCCAATTGTTTTCCGTGGCCACCAAATCGTTTAAAGTCAGATGATCGAGAATTTGATAGACAGACAGTATGTTGTGATACATTTCATCGATCATCCAATCAAATGAAAGCCCGCTTTGGATTTAACGTTGATTGCTGATCATTTGCCGATCATTTGCCGATCACTTTCAATAGTAAAAAAAACGCAAACTTCAAATCGCCAGGGTTTTTGAAGGAAGCAAGCTACGCTCATAAAGACTATACCAATGCATACTCCAATGGCTGCACTATAAGAAAATTACGCCACTTTTTCGTTTTCTTTGACCAAATTGCAAGTTTACATATGTAAAGATTCTTTTATTTGATAGTTCTCCACTTTTTTATAAAAAATTTAAAAAACTAGGGGTATTTTCTTATATTGCAATTGTTAAAATAAATAGTCGTATAGTCTTTATGAGCGTAGCTTGCTTCCTTCAAAAGCCTTAGGGATTTGAAGTTTGCGCTTTTTTACTATTGAAAGTGATCGGTAAGTGATCAGCAAATGATCGGCAGAAAAAAAACTTCGTTTATGGATTTTCATATGAGGCTTCCCCTATGTTTGTAACACTACCGATATCTAACCCCCCATGTCATATCAATAAACTTTTCTCGACCTGGAATGCAAACACACCCAGAGGTTGGGTTTTGTCATCATATTCAAGGCATCGTCATCATTATTCAAATCATTCAATTCATCCGCCTCCAATTTCTATTTTCGGTAATCAATAGCAATTTCTTGGCCGCAAAAGGCAACCGCGCTTTATTCCGATTTGGCACAACTTCTCCTATGCTATATTAATATGCCTTCGGATAGAATCATGAGACGTTTGTATATCGTGCTCCCTTTAGTTAACAAAGCAAGATAATGTGTTATATAAGAGCCAGATTTTGAAGAACAAGCGATACTCGGTAGAATGTTCAACAGTCTATTAACAAATCTGATATTTGAATCGCATAATACATTTTATTAACATATTCAATAGGTCATTCGCAATAGTCCTCGCATTTTTCGACTTCAAAATAAAAATGATAGATAGTATTATCATTGAACGTCGTCCGTGCACATAAATGTAAAACAAATATTTAAATAGATTCAGTTTACTATTACCAGAAAACTAAACCAAATTTCTTCTATACAACAATTGAACAGACCTTTAAAGGTGAAACTTGGAGCTAGCCTATTTTGATGCACAAACTCGAATTTCTCAATGTTCCACTAAAGTCACGTGCTAACACTTATATAAATACTGGCACAAAGCAACGGTAATGAATCGGAATTTAAACTCAAAAAACTTTGTCCTTTTCCTTTTTTGATTCCATCTTGAATAATGCAAAGACAAAATCCACCTGATTTCAACAGACCTATCTCGTCACGCAATCCAATGGGAATACAATCTATTTTACAGGGATTGGATCAACCTCCACAACAACAGCAGGGATTGGCTTCATCAGGAGGATATTATCGGCAGCAGCAGCAGCAACAACAACAACAACAACAGCAACAACAGCAGCAACAACAACAGCAGCAGCAGCAGCAGCAGCAACCACAACAGCAGCAACCACAGCAGCAACCACAACAGCAGCAACCACAACCACCACCACCACCACCACCACAACAACAACAACAACCACAACCACAGTTGCTGCCGCCACAACATGTAGTAAACTACAGCACCCCAACTGCTCAACGGTAATGCAGTATCAGTAATGTTTGCAAATAAATAGCATTCTATTTTAGACAAGATATTAAAAAGAGTTTGTGTTTTATTCACATAAGATCTGATATGCAAACAACAGTTGCACCAGTTGTAGAAGCACGGCCATTAAGCGAGGTATATATAGTATTACAGATTTAGTGAATGTATTTCGAATACACTAAACCCCATCTCTTGTGTAGATCCAAGCACTAATGAAGAAAGAAGAAGAACCGTTCTGGAAATTTGCACACTTTAAGAAGCAAGATTTAGAAAGTAAATATCCCACGAGTCTGGCTGCTGTTCCAAGCCGATATAAAGGATTTGTGATTCCAGTTGTTCCTGACATACCACCGCCCGAATAGTTAATGTAAATTGACACTTACTAATAGAGCCCCCCATACATATGATATGTGGGATTATTCCCAAGCGCCTATAGTTTCATCTACGTGTAAGATCTACCGGCATGTTTATATTGAAAAAATATGTAGCTGTCTTCGTCATAAGCTGGGAACATCATATAGTAATATTAATAATTATCGGCATACATTCGGTACCTCCTAACTTTTATTGTTATTAATATTAATTAATATTGTTATTATTAGTATGCAGTTTATCGCCCATATCAGTATTGTATGATCATATGATCGTCACAAAGGCTGTACGGGTTTACATTAATAGATGATTTATTACTTAATTCAGATGAGAATGCGTGCCATGTATAGTAAATAAGAAGCTCCGCTTCAGCACTTTCTACACGTTTCAACCATTCAATCCTACATGGGCGTATTATCTGGAACTGAAATTAGACAGTATTTGGACGAGGGGTATGGGTCTATAATGCATGATGTACTGTATATCCTGCATCACGTAAAACATAATGAGACTAAATTTATCTTGTCTTTCATGCCGAGGTGTAAAGAAAACTCGTCATAGATCCATTCAGCTATTCTAACATTGGAACAGCAAGGTAGCATAATATTAACTTGTCCCATGACTCTTCTATGCTACGAAGCTCTAATCTCAAAATTATTCGTCTACAGTGTCGATTTGACACTTGGAAACGAGTTTAGATATTTTGTTCATCAGAATGAAGCAGTACCAATAAGCAATGAAGCTGGACCAAAAGATTACCAGAACTTTTCGACCATCGTAAGTCTATTTGCAATTTACGCAAAAGGCCGTTTAATTGTCTCGCATTATAGACGTAAAGTAACGTACTCGATTTTTGAAATTATTGATTAAAAGCTGAAACTAGATGACGACAAACCATATTACTTGGGACCTGGTCAAATGTGTTTGGGTAAAATTTTAATTTATTTAATTGAATAGAGATCAATCATGTATGACCTTGTCTGGACACTTTATAACACAAACATAGGTATCACTCGTGAGAGAGTGAAATTACCCTCTGGATTGTGCGCGTTAATAGGTGAGAACGCTTGCTTGTAGAACCCCACGTAATCAATTTAATCTTTGTACAAAGGCGTATGGTCTGCAAATTGGTACATACTCTAAATCATCGTTGTTTCTTATGCACAATAGAAGGACGATCTCGCTTTGCGAGACTTGGTCTTTCTGTACACATAACTGCATCGTTCATCAACCCTGGTGTAGACAATCAGACAGTACTCGAGATCTTTAATGCTTCGAGTCTAACATTAGCTCTACATCCAGGCACTAAAGTATGTCAAATGATCTTTATGACTATGGAAGGAGAAGCGTCGTATTCCGGCATATTCCAGGGACAAGCTTTGTAAACTAAAATAAGCAAAATTCAACGGAAGAGCCAGTGTGACACAACGTTGCCTGATACATTTATTCGCAAAATAATCTAATAAATACTATGGCTTGTAGACTATATAAGGTTAAGTGCATAGATTCCTTCTCCGAAAGATTAGAGCGATTCTAATGCTTTGACTATCATTCTCTCGATATTGTTCACAATAGTACGGTTAGATATCAAAGAAGTCATAAAGTATACTACATCGCCGAGGGGTCTTGCAAAGATGCCATATTTATTATCGACATTGCTTATATCGCCGCTTATAGTATCGTGCGAATGACTGCGAAGATGTTTTATGAGATCTTTGGCAACATTCGATGCATATCCTAGACATTAATAAAAAAGAGTTATCATACAGAAAGTACAAATGAAAGGACATGAATAGCTATTTCTCATGTTTGTTACCTTGACTGGATGAAGAGGATTCTAAATGAACTGCAAGCAATGTACCCAAAGCAAAGACACCTTTGACGCTTGATAGTCGAGAAATATGATCGACAGTCTGACCAAAAACAAACAAGATATATGTTGATTTAGTTGAGTTTATTTTCAAGACATTCTCCCACTCGACAGCCAATATTCTTTACCTTGACACTCCACATGCTCCAATTACCATCGCCATCTCCGCCGCTACCGTCAATCCATTCTCTCTTTTGTTCGCTCCAGGACCCATCTGATTTGTTCATTATAGCGTATTCATCAAGAGATGTTTTCGCGACCCAGCACCCAATCGGGTGTGCAGTATAAGAATGCCCGTGGAGTAAGGCATCCGTCTTGTGGGGTGTAGAGAAAGTAGAGAATATATTCTCAGACGCGAGAGTAACCGCAAGGGGGAGTAAGCCGCCCGTCAGCAATTTTGCGTAAGATGCTATATCTGGATTCTGTTTCACTATATTTTAGCATACAATAAAACATGAAGCATGGACGTTTGAAACAAGACAATTATGACATCAGATGATATCAATACTGACCACTCCCAAAATTTCAGCCCCACTCACTCGCCCAAGTCTCCAGAGTCCCGTATACACTTCGTCAAATATAACTGGCAAGCCTTTCCATTCACCGTTCTGATATTGTCTCTTCTTTCTTCCCCAATCGTGACTTCTCGCACACTCAACAAGACATCGCTGAAAGACTGGATCAACAAATATCATTCCTCCTGCGCCCATTACAACAGGTTCCATCAGCAGGGTACCAAACGTACGTCCTGATGAACTTAGTTGATGGAACGTTGACATGATGTGGGACCTGTAAAAGTCGGCGAGAGCAGAAGAGTCGCGTGTTTGGGAAAAGACTGCCGAAAGTGACGTGAAGCATTGGGTATTCGCAATTGATGAAGGTAGAGAGGAGGATGTTGGGGTAGTGGTAAGGGTGAACGAGGGTGGAACATGAACTCGGTATACACCATCTTTCATTAGTACCATCGGGGGATCGAACCAGTATCCTCGTGGTTTATACCTATGGGATTTCGATCAGATCAGTCATCGAGGAAAAAAAAAAAGGGAAAAGCAATAGCCGAAAAAGATAACTTACCATCCAACCTGCTCGTTAAACACGTTTGGTCCACAAGCATCCATAGCTCCAATAGTATCACCATGATAGCTCCCATTAATACCCAAAACCTCCAGATGTTTTCCGTTACTCTCGGCTTTTGCATTGCCCTCCTCGTTTCCCTTAGACTTGGTTACTCCACCGCGGTCTTCCATCTCTGCTTCAAATGCCCGTAGTCCCATCTTCAAAGCCACTTCCATAGCCGTACTTCCATTATCCGAGAAAAACACTCGATCCGCCCATGAACGCCCGACTGTCGAGAGCAATGATTCAGATATAGCAAGAGCGGGCTCGTGTATGCATTCGGGAAACATCACATGGCCATAGCGGCCTGCTGCGTAGGCGGAGGACAAACTCAATCTCTGTGAACCATGGCCTAGACCTAAATAGTAGTCGAAGCAAGAACAAATTAAGGTCATAATACATAGACAATTACAATTTGTGTGGGGAAGCCATGCAAAAAGGAAAAAAAGCCATACCTTGAGTCCACCAACTCGCACATGCATCAAATAATTCTTTAAAATCTCCCCCACTTTTGCTATGTCTAGCATCACTGTCGCTACTCGTCTCATTTTTCTCCTCCATAGCTTTACTCATTATTCTCTCCCCATCTCTTGTCGTTTCTCCTCCATCTTTCCTATACGTGACAAAAAAATCCTCATACGCCGAATCAATAACCGTAACTTTCTCTACATTTTGATGCTGAGTAAATGGCCACCATACTACTTTCTTTGTCTTTTCTTCCATTTCTTCCAGTCTATCGAACCTGTTGTTGTACCATCCGCTCAGTTCTTTAATGATATCATCATATTCTTTCTCAGTGTCTTTAAAATATTTTCTCAATTCGACCAGATCTTGTTGTTTCGATTCCTTCCTTTCTGGAGGTGAGGAGATACCAAAGATCGGGATGGGATAAGAAAGTCGAAGACGCGAGTTGAGCGATTCCGTAAGTGATTGAAAATATGCGCAATTGGAATCACCAAACTTGTCGGGTTTGGTGAAAAAAAGAATAGACAGGATGTCATAACCGCGTAGATGAAGCGATTCAAAAGCCGAAAGCGTGGTAGAGATGCCCCCTAGCTTACTATCGCCGATGACAATTGTGGGAAGACGCAGTGGTCGATAAAACGTGCTTTGCGGTGTACCTACAATTGTGGGTTGGGAAAAGGAAAAGACTATTATTGAGTAACAGCAACAAGAATGTTAATGATGACAAAGGAATCACTCACCTGACATTATAGGACTATTGACACCTTAGATAATATGAAATGTTAGTGATCAATTGAAGCCATTGGTGAAAATTCAATTTCCACAAAAACGAAAATATACGCTAGGCCATACCACCGGCAGTTTCCAATATTAATAAACCATCATTTCGAGCAACCCGTTTACATTCGGCAATGGATGCTTTGATATTTTCTAAAACCTCATTATCACTCGGTGCCTACGGGAGGGGAGGGGGGAGAAGGGAACGGAAGTGACGTCTTAACATTCAATCTATCCCCCATTCCTACTCTGCATCCAACGCAACGCACACTCACCTTATGATTTCCAATAGCTAAATGCGGACTAACAGGCTGTTCATACTCGTACAATGTCTTGTATTGTATTTCTTGTCCTTTATCGAGACAATCCTTTACAAGCCTAGCATCGCTATCAGTAGGATAACCCGTTTGGACCGGTTTCACATAAAAAAGATTTTCGAAACTACTGTACGCATCAGCCTTGTTCGAATTACCGGATCGATTGTATTTGTTGGATAGCAAGGATGATTTTGAAAATGCATTCAAGAGACCAGCAGAGATTATGGTTTTGCCAACATTCGTGTTTGGAGCAAAGATTTGATAAATTTGAAAGCTACGCGTTGGGAGATACTGAGCCATTGCAGAGTTTCTGTCTAGAGAGAAGGTGGAAAGGCAAAGCAGATAGTTCTGCTGATGCTTTAAATACACTGACTAAAACACCACGGCAATAAATATAAATATAGGAAATAAAGAAAGTATATTACGGATAATTGAGGAGGGAATGGAGAAAGAATTACGAGAAGTTCATTTTGTTACGCATTTAATTAGAACAGAAATTTGTCCGAATTTTAATTAAACATCTTCGGGCTTAATATAGAAATGTTTAGCGTGTATGTATGGAGATGTTCCATTATGAAGACAAAATGAATATGAGAATCGACTATTTTTATTCTCTCACAAGATGCCATTACTATTACTATTATTAATAACATTTACATTAAATGCTTTCTATCATCTTTATTCAACTCTAATTTCCATTCAATTTGCAAACTCCACCAGCACAACCTTTTTCGTCGTTTTCTGTATGTTGCACGTCCAGTCCATGACGCTGTCTGGCCAACTTTACGAATGCTGTATATCCACCAATTAATTTATAATCACTTTCTTTACAGCCCTCATAAATAAACGGGGAAGTAGAGTGTGATGAAGCGTTTGGTACCAACTAGAAAACGAAATTGAGGGAATTATTAAGTATTGACTTGACATTACAATTAAGGACTAGTCAAAGCTATCTATATGCGATAACTATGTCATATCGTTTACTGTAGAGATCTGCCAGTCGCTTGTAAAAATTGTCAATTAACAAGAGTAAACGCAGTAAACGCGCACTATCTACTTGCATTTTGTAAGTACTTTACTCGATCTCCCCATTCGTCCCTCTGTTGTGATCCAACTACTACTTTCAGCGGTTCCCGCAAGTCAGGGTTATTCTTTAGTTTCTCGGCAAGTTGAGTTGCATTGTGGAAGTAAGAACAATTTAAAAAACCTTCCTGTTCAATAATGGACGAGCAAATTTAATAAAGATGCGCTAAATTGTCAAGAAGGGAAATTATGCAATTGTTATTATACAAACAATATGGTAACAGATCTCGTTCATATCTGACGGTTGTGAGAAAGTTGTTGACATGTATTATTGGCAATCAGACAGTAGATAGGAACAAAGTTTTTTACGTGGGTTCACTCTTTAAATCAAACTCCCTCTCAATTATAATATCAGCTATATCCAAGTAGGACGTAACACAGACACTTATATCGATATACCGCATTTGGGGAGTTGACGTTTTTTCGAGACGCGCAGACAGACAAACAACTCTATTCTTTTACTTTCAAAGCCTCCACGCATTCCAATTAAAACCTTCCCACGGAAATAACAGCTTGCTCAGCTCAGCGACTTCTTCTTTTCCCGTCCTTCTCCTCTTCCGCTCTCTAATAATGTCCAACGATCTTCAAACTTTCATGTCAACAATTCTCTCTGAAGAACAAGAGCTCCAATTTGCCGCTTTCGATTCTTCCAATGCACTCGAACTTGGTCTTTTAATTGTCAAAAATGCCAAGCAAAAGGCCTATCCTGTAGTCATACAAATAACAATAAACAATTTTCTGCTGTTTCATTACGCCATGTTCGGCACGACTCCTGCCGATGTGGAAACCGCAAGTAGGATAGGTGCGGTTGTTAGCAAGTATCATCATTCGAGCGCATATGTAAATATAAAAGAGGAGGATGGTCATGGAGGATTAAACGGAGGCGGATTTCCATTGATTATTAAAGGTACTGTTATTGGAAGCATCGTCGTCGCTGGAGTCGTTGCAAAGGATGATTATGAATTGGTTGTCGGGACGTTGAAGGAGTATTTAGGAATGGAAAAGGAAGGGAAGAATAAAGTTGAATGAGTGTGGTAAAAGGTTGGGATTGGGCTTGTGAGCAGAATAGAAGTGGAGGTAGATACTGGGATTATGTAATGAATCGTATGTTGTTTCTGTCGGAATGTCGGTTATATTTAATGATCTCTCCAACTCATCCGAGTTTTGTATATGATTGACTAAACAAACGGAATGTCTATGTAAATTGCAGATTTTGGAATAACCTTCATATTGCAATGTTGTCTGTATATTCTATAATTAACACTGATATCAATCCATATAATACAGAGTTGATGGGTTTTTTTTATTACTCAATAATTGTCATCTGTAATAATTAAGATCGCTATGTTATGCCGCTACTGCTGTTCGTCCGTTCGCTTGAAATGATATACCTTCTCGCTTCCATTTCTCGGGACACCCAACTCCTGGAGTTTATGAAAAGCACTGGCAAAGTCATTGAACCAGAGCTTTTCATCTGCTGCATATTTCTCTACCCATGGTCTAAATGACTTGTCTTGGAGGAGGACGAAATCAGTTGGAAGCATCATCAAGTCGCCTGCAACAAGTTAATGTGACATACAATGTTAATATATGATAGGTCAACACGACGGATGATAAGGTAGCTAGTCTACTGGCTTGCAATAACCAAGTCTTATCAAGCGAAACTCACCTGTCTCTTTATCGACGTATTGCTTAGGACCCTTCCATTTCTTTTCTACCCATTTTTTCTCAAGCAGTTCTTTGAAATATCCATTCGTAACCAAAGTAGGACTAGTTGTCCATGGGCCGTCGAATCCAGAATTTTTGGGATGACATCTGCCGAGTGCATGGGCACCTGAAAGAGCAACTATTTCGCTGGTTACGTATACATAATAAAAAAAAGCCAATGAGCAATAGTTAAGATCTTTTGTCCATTAACGTTTTCAACATTTTATAACGCTCACGCACCGATCGTCAAAGCCCATTCGGTAGAAGATATCACGAAGATGCTTGGATCCCAATGTTGCATCGGGTAGTCTGCCGTCAGGAGTAGCAGCTATTGCTTCAGCATCGCGGCTATTGGCATGGTAAACAGGAAGCGCAAAAAACAATTAAATTGAGAAATGCAATAATAGAACTTTTCATAAATAAACGAACTTACCGTCCGGGAATCCATGGAATGGTAGGACCACCCTACGTTAATTAAAAATTAATATGTGTATTATTCCAATACTGCTTACTATTTTATTGACTTTACTAAGGCATAGTTTAATCGCACACAATAATTCGTTCATCTTGTCTGTCCAAGCTACATTAATATGTGTCCATCGTCCAATTCGATTCAATCCAGTTCTGGTTTTTGTCCTTTATTCCATTCGCTCCTCTTCTTTTTACCTACCATTTCTTGAATAGATACGACTCCAGCCAAACTCCATAGATCAGAATACGTAATTTCAGGGTTAGCAGCTTTGATGGGTTCCAATTTAGCCCTAGCAACGCTCAACCCAGCATTCGCTGCATGTTCACTCTCGGGAGCGAATCTCATAGTAGCACCATTACTTCCTCCTGTGTTCGTTGCCTTGTCATAAGTACCCGACGCATGCCATGCCAATCGTGTAAAGATTGGACCCAAAGAACCATCATCCCAATCATTATCTTCAAGAATGTCGGCAATTTGATTGTATACTTTCTGATAATTAAGCTCTCCATGGACTGGTGGTTTGGGGCTAACGGGGGAAAATTTCGCTGTGCTAAAATCAGAAGAGAAGAAGTAGTATCCAGCCCCAGCACCGACAGCCAAGGCAGTGAGAGCGATCAAGGCGCCGCCTCTGGATTTCTTCTCTGTTTGAGTACTGTATGCACGATATGCAGTTGGACCGCGAAGAATAAGTGGCGTTGTCGCCGAAGCTGAAAATAATAAGCCCCGGGGTGATGAAATGCTACGCGTCGCTACACGGCAATGGCGTAAGAATGACATTTTGGATTTTAGAGTATTTTGATGTTTTTTGTGGGGGAGCGATTTGATCAACAGATAGTAATAATAGAAAAATAAGGTTTAGTATGTCCGAAATTGTTATTGTCACATGATTCCATTGAAAACGTTTTTTGATAGTACCCCAGATTTTTTTGATGCATCTGCCGTTTTTAGAAGTACCCAGAAGTTCATTCGACTTATTATTATCGAGTTACCGAGAGACCAATAGGATTCGTCGTAACACAATGTCCTTTCATGTTATAAGTATACGGACAATTTTATCGTTTATTATTTTATTGCTCTTTTCAAAATGGTAGGATCACCATCAAAAAAATTCAACGAAAACGACACGTGTTACAATTGAATATAAAGATTTACAGTAAACGTTATGCAAAGAGAATGGATACGTCTTATAATCTTAGCATATGTTATATGTGTAAGGTTTGTCTCTCTCGTGGTATTGATAATTCTTCGTTTACGTGTCATTGTCCAAAAAACACAAAAGCCAACAACAAGAAAGACCACGAGAGTCTTTATAGTCGTATAGTATCCGCCAACACCGACCTTCACAATTAGACCTTCTAAAAGACGCGAATCAAAAATTTAAGTACCGAAGTGACTTGTCAAAATCAACATTTGTAGCAGGTGTCACAGTCTGTATCAAAGGCGTGCAAAACGAGAACAGCAAGTTTCTATACAACAACCGACAACTCTCACAGATAATACTTCTCTCTCTGAAAATGCATCTCTCTCTGAAAAGATGCCTCTTCTTAACGATATGTTTTTACCATCTGATACTGAAGACATTACTATTATGCAAATCAATGCCTTGCTGGTGGTGATGAACCCCTTTAACCGCATGAAATTTCCTGCTAGACAAAAAAAGAAAGTGAAGTTGAAAGAGTCGAATCATTCAACGCGACCTTTCCAAATGTCGATCTATTCAAAAAAGAGGGTGGTGATTGGAAAGTAGTTAAAAAAAAATAGAGAATGAATTATTAAAGCTTAGGTTAGAATTACGGAAAAAGAACAATAACGAGAAAAGGCTCAAAAAGATGCTATGCCTTTGTTACACACAGATTAGTTACTTAAAAGACAAAGACAACGCATAAATAGCGCGCTATGGAGATAATCTTCCCAGCCAGTCTTCTCATCTCAGAAACCAACTCGTCTAGATACCAGCCCGCTTTCTATTCGACCAAATACTTGAGAACCTTTAAGGAAAAATCATTATAATAATGTTTGATCGGTTGGCAACAAAACCAATGTTGCATACTTCCATGTCATTTGCATCAAACAATTTTCTTCTTCCTTTAGGGGCCACAAAAGAATTGTAGATGTTGTACCTCAGTTGGGGACCTGTCTCAGTTCTGGACTGAGTGACTGGATTCCGAACTGAGACAGGTCTCGAACTCAGACCAAACATTATCCAATTTCCAAATCTGTTAGGACGATGAGCTAGTGAGGGTTACCTATATAATACCTTTTACAATTTTCAGCTAAATAAGGCATTTTATGTGCATACTTTAATAAATATGAGCGTTGCTCCTGCTGCGTTGTCGCAAGATTTGAGACTGGAATTGATGAAACTCGTCAGGATGGGGTTTCCTTTAAGACTGATGAAGACTATTCTTACGCTGTCGAATATTTCTTCAACTAGCATGGTATTTGTTAACCGTGTTATACTAACGGAAAGGTCAAAATATAGTTTGACACAACAAGATCACTAGTATAATTACATTGTTGTGATGTGTTGCATTTTCTGCTAAATCTCACTGTCCGTATAACGAGGATAGAACTAAAGCATCTTCTTCTCTGTCAGAAGTCAATGACATTAATGAGCATAAGCTATCATTTCTGCTGACTGATTGTATTGTTCACACATGTGCGTTAATTTTATTACCATTGTTCCGTAAATATAGAACTTCAGCACCCAGAGATTGCTTCAATTGTGAATCATACGTCATATATTTGTGACTTGATCCTTCCAGTCGTTAATAACCACATGCACGTAGTTTTATGGCAATTGATAGAAATGCATTTGTCAGAATGAAATTTTTTGTACTTCCTGATTAGTAATTAATGCGTTTATCAAGTCTTCGAATTTCACTTATTTGGTAAATCACCGTTATTTGGTAGACATAAATTATAATGATTACTCCATTTTTATATGAATATACTCAATCTTGGTATATAACCGTTTGATATCTGCCCATTCATTGCAATATGTATAGGCAAACAATTCAAGCATCAAAGCAAGTAACTCTTCAGGTTAAAAGATTTACCACGAATGAGAATATTCAGTGCATGCTTGGAATATCCATTGTTGATTTTCATTCAATATGTCAATTAAAAGTAATGAAATTATATACAGAATTAAGCCTATATGACTACAACGGTTATAACAAAGCAATACGTTTCGTGGAGATAGGCTGCAATTATGGTTGCTCAAAAAATAATCCAAGAGAAGATTACTAAACTCGGCTAAGATATATTTTTAATAGCCAACGGATTGGGGGGATTAATAAGTACTAGCCGACGTCTTAAAAAAACCGCGTACTAATAAGAGTACGTTTTACTACTGCGATCGCAATACCAGAAACATGTTAGAGATTGGTCGCACTTATTAAAAATCATATGGTGGCGAATGGTACACTACCCTATCAAAAGTATCCGGTCAAGTTGTTGTTTATTTTCTCAAGATCGGATATCAATTAGTATATATATTTTTGAAAATAAATGTCCTGGTTCTGAACTGTGTTTATTTGTTTTGTATTATGACGCGTACACCCAACTTGGTAATAAAAATATAAACAATGATCAATTTTGCGTAGTGACAATCTTTAACTTTTTCTTTACTGTGCATATTTTAAAATGGAAAAAAATCGCGAGTTAAATGAATTTGAGTGTGGACAAGTTATTGGCCTTTTTAGCCATTGGGCGTATCTTTAGAATCCCAAAAAGTACTATTACAGACACAATTTCTCGATACAAAAATTCTAACAAGAATTTTTATAAACTTGAAGAAGCATTACAAGGAGAATGTGGAAAAAATCCCATCCGAAACTTATTTGAAAGTATACCACGGAGGATTGAAGCATGTATGAAAAACCAAGGATGGCCAGCTAAATATCAAACATTTATAATAAAATATATTTTTATTGATCGATCGGATACTTTTGATATTATCGCACATTCACGGTAATATGAAGCGAACGCCGCGATGGAAAACCAAAATAACCACGTTGTTAAGTCGTGAAGGATTTTACACTGAAGTTCATGGATTACCAAGTCCTGGCAATGTCACTCGCATTACTAGTTTTGCCAGCCGAAACGAGTTATAAATCTGTCCATCGAGACTTTCTTGCAGGTCTTGAAAAAAACAGCATGCTAAAGTCACTAAAATACGATGCGTTTTGTTATAGTAGATAAGCATTTTATGATGAGAGATAAACTGACTATTGTAGCATTAATGCTATTGTCCATTACAGTTACGGTTGAGCACATATATTTGGTAGATCATACTGTCGAGGTTGTGAAAGATTGAGTACAGCGGGAGATTAAACGAGCAATTTACGTCTCACTTTATCGATATGATGATCAGAGAATACGGCTTATTGCTGGCGGTTCAATAAAATATGTATTTATTAACTATCAACTTGAAGACAATGTTTGCTGGCAAAACTACAGTTTCTCATATTCATTTCGGATGTTTGCGTTTACATCCCTGACACTGAAGATGAAATTATTTCATGTGAAGAAATTCCTATCTCCTATAATTGAATGCAAGTATTAAAATGATATGCAAGCTGACATTAGCACAATAACAGTTACAGTTAACCTTATCATATTCATGTAAGGCGTATCTGACTAAACGTTCATGTCTAAAGTTCCAAAGCTTCGCTTTAATTTCGGACCCTCTGCAATTCCGTCCACTTTTCCTCACATGCTATCAATATAATAAATTTGGCCAATTATATATTAATACGTACGTGTGTGTATTATAATCAGTATATATGTATAGAGTATACAATATTACAACAACAACAATAATAATTACTTACTGTTACCCATGTCTTAATTGTAATGGCAATCAACCCAAGAATAGAAATTTCTTTGTCGTGACTAAAGGTCAAAGTAAGAATGTATTACAACCCAGGGGCAGTGCATGAATACTTTCTATCCGACATGTAACACAAACACTTAAATTTATAATTCGCGCAATTTTGGTTTAGTTTGTTTACATATTCGGCGTTTCTTACTAAAAATACAACGACTGAGCCTTCGTTGGCCAGGTCGTAAACTATAACCACTTTATGAGCCAATTGCATTCACTTTGCATAGGTTAACTTCTACTTCGCTTTCTACAATATACAATTATATAAAAACCATTCTTCTAATCGAAGTTTCCGTTTCCCCTTATTATTTTTTATTATTTGCGCCAAATGATCTACATACATGTTACACGAAATATATACAGCGTAACAAGCAAACTTAAACACTTGTAAAGCTGTCAAAAATCAAGTGCTTTTATCATCAAGGTCAGTTAATAAAGTCGTCAAATATACATACATACATACATACATTCCGATAGATGAGATGTTCTATGAAAGTTGGCGTGCTAGAAATTGCAACAGATTTACTCAGTATGAACACCTTCTGAAGTATCATCTATCGAAAAAAAAATATTTAAAAGTTTCGAAATAACTTTGATAATTAAAAAGCACTTGACTTTAATCTAATATATTAATATGTATGATCTTTAATATCTGATGTTAGAACTTGACAAGTTGCTTGTTATACAATATTGATGTTTGTCAACATCAAAAAACAAGTAATCGATTCTGTGTAACTTTATATGAACGGTAGGCCTATAAATTCTAAAGAAACAGTTTAATAAAAAAAGTCAATGAAAGCGATCACAGTGTGAAATGATTCCGGAAGAACGAAAAGGGGTTAAAAGCACTTGCGTAATTTGATTCATAGATGCGAATAAAATAATGGTAATAATGTAAGTCATTAAGTAGCGATAAGTAAAACCTTTGTTGTATTTTAGAGAATATATCTGTAAAGTTTCATGATTCTCTGGCTTCTTTTCGTTGCACAATTGGTAGAAACATTATTCCGAAACTTTTGCGTGCGCAGTTGGTTACCAATAAAAACATATACAATATATGCATGTAACTCATATACTATTTTATTCGATATTCGATATGCATAGATAAACGCTATCAAATTAGCACTAACTCATTTCACACGTGGAACACATATTTACATTCTTGTCAAACATTTATTTTAGTAGATAAATCAATTTCGCGTATTTTTTAATCTTGGACCGATATCTCTAACACTCCTCAAAATGCCAAGACGATGCGCCAAAAACTCAAGCTCGGACGACTCTTTAAGCGAAGAGGATGTACGAAGTACGTTTTGAAATGTAACAATAACAGTGCACATCATAACAGGAAATAACATCAATTTGTATCAATCATGTTCTTTAAGGAAAGAGACCGAGAAAGAATACAGGTTGGCATGTTAATGCATATGAGGATTGGTCCGTAGTTTGTATTCGTTATTGACTAACCAAACGGTATAGAAATACAGAAGGCAGTATTCATACCCGCCTCACCCAATATCAAGCCCTCATACATGTCGGATGATTTTCCTGGATTTGAAAGCTCTTGCATTTATAGCACACTTAGCAACACCATAATCACTCATCCATTTCTCAAAGATAACATAACGGAATACGAAGCTGCCAATTGGCTTTCTGAGCCAGAACAAGCTGCACTATTAGATCTAGCAAATAAGCTGGCAATTGCTAGATCAACAACGATAGCAGCAACAACAACAACATCAACAACATCAACAACATCAACAACAACAGAAGCAGCAACAACATCAACAACATCAACAACAACTCCAGTAGCATCCGCATCAACAACAACCGTAACAGCAACGGCAACAGCAACAGCAATGGCAACAGCATCAACGGTAACAGCATCGCTAACAAATAAAGTATGTGTGCAACCTATCATTCCTACTTTTCAACTACGGTTTAATTCACTTATTATTATCATATGTTATTTTTAGGAGCCTCTAGAAAGACTTACTACAGAATTGAAAGCGTTATTTCTAAAATGTCGAAATAATTCTGACGAACTATATATGTATCTCATAGAACGAATTTATAGAATAGACATAATCGTTGCCAAGAGAGAAGGCATTTTTGCCAAAGCGGGGAAAATTTTTAACGATTGTCGGGACAAATTTAATAAATCAATTAAACAATTGGTGAATAGGTACAAAGACCAGCACAAAGACAGGTATGCATATGAATTAATGTCACATTTCCACGATTATGGTGCTAATGTACGACCCACTATGCTTTCAGGGAGGGAGCGGCGAATCAGGAGGAAGTCGAAGAGTTTATTGATGATACTGTGTGTCGGACGTTATTGTCCTCGAATCTCGACGCAACGAAAAGGGTAGAAATTCTCGATAATCCATATACTACATCTCAGTTAAAAAAATTTGTCCAGGAAGCATTTAAAATCCATCTCCGTGGAGGTTCGGATGCTTCGTTGAATGTCAAAACACTTGATTATATTACTATGGAATTGGATATTCCCACACAACTCGGCATTGTCAATGAAATGGACGTTAAAAAACTCTTAAGCTGTGCAAGCATAAAGAATTCTCGTTATAGACGATTAGCGTCATGATATACTGTATACTACTGCATACTTTGCCTTTGATTATTTACATCCAAGTAATATCTCGTTGAAATAGACTAATTTTCAGAATGAATTGTATCTCTACTCTTCTTTATATATTGAACTCTCATACAGAGTTTGTTTCGAGATATGCGGCGTATCCGGCTGATTTGGGGGTTCGATAAAGGGAATTTATTATTTTTCGCAATATCGGAAATGTGTAGAATCAAATTGAGATGAAACCGGTTTGTTACCAAAAATCTTTATTAATATAATAAATGTATTATTATTGTATAATAATCGAGCTGGTAAAAAGACTATATTTAAAAGTTAAAACTGTAAAGAATCCCTCAAGTATGATAATGTATTATACATTCTTTCTCTTCAAGCTCTTTATTTGTTTAGCAATTGTCCATTTCTTTACAATATTTGTTGGTCGCGCTTTGCAAGACTCCCAGACGACACAGAAACGCTTTCGTTAAGTTCCTCTTTAAACTAAGCTGATAGTTTTAAGTTTTCTGATATTATTGTTATAGCAAAGACAGACTTAAGTGGCAGAGATGGGATGGTCCAACGGGAGAAGTAAATATAAGTCATTGAGCATGCAGGAGAGCATGACACAATAATGAGATAGGGAAGAAAATAATATGAAGATGATTATCCTGTACAACATTACTAACTAAAACGCGCACTTGATTAATCAGTAAGTATCTTTGGGAAGAATGAGTCACATTGCTTCCCTATCATCCTTATTATTATATATATGTAATAGTCCTAATCTGGCTCTGTGCAACTATTTTCCATTTCCAAAAATTCAAAAAAAAAAAAAAAAAAAAAAAAAAGAAAAGAAAAGAAAAAAAAAAGTGTTTTTATTTTGTAAAAATTCAAGAGCTTCCTATACTATAAAATAATAATAAATAGCATCTGCAAGAAGGATATTCTGGGTGCTTTCAGAGTTGGCATAGAAGGCTGAGATGTATTGAGGTTAAAGGTGACTATTTTAAAGGAATAGGAATGGACTAGTTAAATAAATATTTATTATGTAAATAAAATTTTTTATACATCTTGTGTCAAAACTTTTTGAATATGAACCTCCCACATACTATGTTACTCCTGTTACTGTATCTCCAAAGATCCAAAGTCAGAGAGGAATTTGATTCTAGGGTCTTTGCCAAAACTGTTGCTCCTGTATTCCCAATTTGATTATATTGAATGTTTAAAGAAGTTAAAGAGGAATTTGATTCTAGAGCCTTTGCCAAAGCTGTTGCTCCTGTATCTCCAAAGAAGTCAGAGTAAGAGAAATATTTGATTCTAGAGCCTTTGCCAAAGCTGTTGCTCTGTATCTCCAATTTGATTTCTAGTAAGATTCAAAGAAGTCAGAGAGGCATTTGATTCTAGAGCCTTTGCCAAAGCTGTTGCTCCTGTATCTCCAATTTGATTTCTAGTAAGATCCAAAAAAGTTGGAGAGAAATTTGATTCTAGAGCTTTCCCAAAGTTGTTACTCCAGTAGCTCCAATTTTATTAATAGTAAGATCCAAAGAAGTCAGAGGAATTTGATTCTAGAGCCTTTGCCAAAGCTGTTTGTTGCTCCTGTGTATCCAATTTGATTACTATCACCCCAAAGATTCAAAAAAGTCAGAGATAGGAGAGGAATTTGACTCTAGAGCCTTGCCAAAGCTGTTGCTCCTGTAGCTCCAAATTGATTTCTAGTAAGATCCAGAGGAATTTAATTCTAGGGCCTTTGCCAAAGCTGTTGCTCCTGTAGCTCCAATTTGATTCTAGGGCCTTTCCCAAAGCTGTTGCTCCTGTATCTCCAATTTGATTACCTCAGTGAAAATAACGTAATTATGTTATTTCCACTTAGTCTAGGTTATTCCCACTCCAGTTGACGACAAGATCACATGAGCATCGTCATTCGAGTGACGATTGGTTCACGAGTTCGTCGTCACACTTAAGTACCCATAATCTATAAAAAAAAAATATGACGACAAATTTGTGTTCACGTCGTCACACTTGGATACATAAAAAATATGACGACAATTTTATGTTCGCGTCGTCACCCATATGCGATATAATATATGCCGAATTGTTATCCGTAAAAACCACATGCAACATAATGTGTATCAGTTTGATGATTGTGGTTAATTTTGATTATAAGATACTTTCCGATTCAGGTTATGACGCCCAGGTGTTCTTATCGCGAGTTTGACAAGTTGATTGCATTTTATGCGTCATTTGATATTGTATACCAGCTTAACGATCCTGACCAATTTCCATTACAATAAAATAGCTGAGATAGGTTATGACAATCTAGCCAGCTTTCTTTGTGATCTTTTTAGGATGCTAAATTCGACACCATTTATTGTGTGTTAATTAGAGATCGGAGGAGGCAAAAAATGATGTCGTGCATAAATCCCGTCATCGTATAAATCCCGTCAAAGTACCCAAAATTGAGAAGGGTCCCTAAACATTTTTCTTATTATTATCTCAATCAGCGGATAAACGCTATGAGTTATGTAATAAGACTACTGTAACAATAACAGCAGTAACCCTTGTGTTTTCCTACCAAGCATAAACTATAGTTACAATATTCACTATTTTATTGTTATGTAATATACCATTTTCAGTTACAAAATAAAGTTTGTTTTTTCCACATCAATTGTTTACATCCAATATTTAATATTAGAAGTCATACGTCAAGTACTTTTACAACTAACACTAGCTTTATGGAATCGATTGTCATACATCTGTTTTGCTTTTCTACAACCGCATTGGCCATCAGCGCATGTGTCTTTACAACCACACATTATCCGTCGACCGCTGCTCGATGCAACCCCCACTGTACTTTGGGCTCTTGCTGTCTTTTTCAATGTTACTTTTTTTCTGTGGCATATTACCCAGCCCAGGAAACTCTGCTGCTTCCACTAATTAAAGTCATTGCATCCATAATAACATTTATTTCGATTAGGTAATGGTCGTCCCTAATGTGTCGATCGATAGTGGAATAGGACGGTGACTATAGATTCAATTTGAAAGCCCATTTTCCTTTCGAGAGAGAAACTACCTCCCTTTGCATACCGAGTACTTATTATATTAGTTTTGGACAAAAAAATAATTGTGGACATACATTTGATTATAGGCTGTAAGTTTCTGCTTCATTTTGTCAGAAAATCGTCAGCATTTTCATCTATATTAATAAATGCAATTGTACAGTACATATGATTGTTCTGTTTCGCATTCTTATTTATTAATATGACAACACGTAGTATTTAGTTTGAATTGTTCTTCTATTAACTGTTGATCATAGTCACCATATAATTTGAGATTCCTGTAACAACGGTCATATAACAACGAGAATTAATTAATAATGGTAATAGGCTGTTAAGATGTTTATTAAAACATTATAACAAGAACAAGAACACGGCACTTATAGACAGCGATGATAATATTAACAAGGTATTAGTAACAACGACAAAGGGTTGGCATTTCCGTGTAACATCAGAAAGCAGGGTAGGGATTCATATGATAACGGCTTTATATCTGAACAAACTATTAATAATATTAATAAGTAAACATAGTTTATGCTTGGTAGGAAAACACAAGGGTTACTGCTGTTATTGTTACAGCATAGCGTTTATCCGCTGATTGAGATAATAATAAGAAAAATGTTTAGGGACCATTCTCAATTTTGGGGTACTTTGACGGGATTTATGCGTATAAATCGTGGTACGGCATTGATACGTATAAATCCGGGATTTATACGATGACGGGATTTATGCACGACATATATATTTCAATTTCTAGTACTTTGTATTAGTTTTATTAGCCGAAAGATTGTTTACTAATATTTTTTATTGTTCTATAATAATAGATATAATTTTTTATTATTCTCTGGAGGTTCAGCCCCACTATCGAGTACCAATGCTGGAATTTTTAAGCGTTTGATTTTACACGATATAGTTGCAAGGTTTGTGGCAGGTTCCTTTCTTTGAACAAAGTCTATCTCCATAGGATCATCCAATGTCTCTTCTTCCTCATCTGAATCGGGTATATCAGGAACTGGCTCTCGATAATTTATAAAGTCAGGTTATGCAATAGATACATTCGTATTATTAATATTGTTTTTAATCGTTTCTATAACCTCTGCTCTGGATCGTTAAACATAGCTAGAATAATTTTTCGAATTTGTGAGTCGATAATCGTACCTGATTTCTTTTGTGAAGTACGTTTCTTTGGACTAGACTTCTTTTTAGGGGATGATTTACTCTTTCGCTTTACTTTTTTTTTTATTTAACAGCATTGACAATTTTCGAGATTTCAGCCTCAGTTAAGTCGTTCTCAGAATCAGATTCGGATTCAGAACCAGACTCAGAGTCAGAGCCAGAATTGGATTCATTATCAGAAGAGCTAGCATCAGACTCAGAATCTGAATATTTAGTAGCCATATTAACCTTACCTTTTTTCTTGGATCTGCTTTTGTTAGAACGTCTAGACTTGCTCTTTTTTTTATTTTTAGGGCAGTTGCGAGAATTATGACCAGTTTTGCCACACTCTGAACATTTGTATAATTTTTTAACAGCATGTATTAATTTTGCTTGGTTAATTTCCATTTCCTCAAATTGTAATCTCAATTTTTCAACCGGATCATAGTCATAGTTCTCTCCAGGTAAACCTGTATCATCCATTAAATTATCTAAAAAACGGTCCATAGCAAGATCATCCGCTTTTTGTTTCCTGGTCCGGGGGGTTTCTTCAAAGTTTGCTGTCCTTTAGCGATAGTTCCTTTCAAACTGGCTATAATTTTTTTGAATTCATCTTGTGAAAGCGTGATTTGGATCTCCTGAGGTTTAGAAGAGATAGTTTGTGAGACAGGTTGAGATTGTTCGGATAACATCATAGATTTTACCAAGTTTCTGACTTCGGTTTCAGTCATACCAGTATTATTTGTTATATAAGGATCTTTTGTGTTAGCTTTAGATCGTGAATGAGAGGTGACTGGATGAGAATTGGGATCATACTGCCCTAACATTAATTCCGCCTTCCGTCTTTCAATTTCTTCCAATTTCCGTATTAAGGTAGAAATCGGATGTTCAAGACCAATACGAGTTACTTCTAATTTGTTATCATGCGAAATTCCCTTGTCTAACTAACTCATCCTGATTCGCTTCTGCTAATGCGGGATAAGCTTGTTTAATCAATCTTTTTAATTCAAATAAAAACGATTTACTGGATCATTACCCTGGGACAGAGAGTGAAATATTAATTATGACTTTTCTGCAGTAATGGTAGGGTACTCGCGTCGAAAATAATTAATTACTTGGCCAATCGTAATACTTGGAGCTACAGCATTTCCATTATTACCCGCATTAGGAGGATTGGGAGCTAAGTCAGTTGGCTGTCCACCTGATGTTATCCAATCTTCATCCCATACTGAATGAGGCGGAACTAATGGTCGCGCAGGTAGATTGCCATCGGCTGCGGTCTCTCGAATAGTCCGAGCTCTACCTCTAAATCTGGCAACGTCGATAGCGCGTATTTGATTATTAGTCAATGCGTTAATAGCGTTGAGAGTTGCTACGCCAGTATTGCAGTAATATTTTGTAATTCCCAATTTTTATTTTTAATCCTGCTTTCATACCAATCTTTCGCATCGCCTTCAAGGCAGTTTTCAAAAATTCCATGAATTCTCATTCGCATATTATGTCCCGCACCTGGGTCATAGTTAGCACATTCACACCATCGGCGAAAATCTCTAATAAAATCTTCTGGTAATTCATATCCTGCCATGTTTCGATTGTTATTATGATTCTGCGGTATATTATTCTGTAAATCTAAAATTCTCTGATTTAAAAAATTAATTCGCTCTTCAAGTTCTAAATTAGCATCACGAACCAATTTCGATCTCAATTTCCATTTACTATATTTAGCGTGCTTAGCTCTTGTCCTATTTTTCCATTTATTGTATTTCCCATATAGAACAGCACGCGGTTGGGCTTTATTCTTGTATCTATTGCATAAAAGCTTGAGAGCAAAAATTTCTGATAATAACCGGGCTGTATTTTTTCCATAATAGACTCGCCAGAATGAGTGCATTAATTTTTTATTTTTATGGGTTTTCTCCACATCGTCCAATATATATGCAGTAGCGTTTTGTCAGCTCATAGCATCATAAAAGCTGAAAATATGGAATTAAAACAAACTTTGGAAGAACATGAAACCAGATTCACAAAACTGGAATATGACGTTTCACTAATCAAAGAAGAGAAAGACAAGAACGCTAATATTTTGCAGAATCCGGTAAATACACAAGTATCCATTTCTGACGATACTCCCGAAATAAATTCTGATATATACGAGGATTTAGTAATCCCCACATCTCCTATTCCTGCAGAAGCCATATCATTGGAAGAGAAGGAAAAAAATAAATTTCTGAATTTGCGGTATAAGGAACAGGTTGGTAAAGAGATAATGGAGAGAATTAGGGAAAAGAAATGAGGGATCAAGACTTATCTTTAGACAATACTTTATCGGAACCATCCTACAATGATCAAAATTTGAAATCGTCCACAATGTCGCAACCCATCTCCGCGACTGCCTCTGGTAATATCTCCGACTTATCTTTCAATCGCTTGGGAACGGGGGTTGACACTCAAAATGCCAAGGTATCAGCCTTTCAAGAGAACTTACAATACTTTATTATACAAAATCAATTAAACAGTATATTTTTTTTATCCTTAAACGTTTCTCGATTAGGGACATTAACCTCTTATCGTTATTAGGAAATGTAAATATAAAGAAATCAGTGTGCGACACCAAATCTGCACATGCGACACGAGATTTCAAAGCTGATGATTGGCTGAAGATGTCGTACGGAAGGTCACGTTACTGTAACAGATTCTGGTGATCTTGCACATACATCACGCACAATCACGCACACTCTACTCAACGATAAATACTTTCTACAAAATGGCCTCTATTGACAATTTCAAAGAACTTATGAAAGTCATCCCTCACCACTATCGTTTGAATCTACTAAAGGGCGAGATTAAAATAATGCCAGTACACAGCAAAACAAGTATGTTATTTTTAAAATGTCAACAGAAATTGTATTGCCATATTGAACGCATTAAAAATATAGGTGAAAAAGAGTTCAAACTTAATGGACAACTTTTCATTTGGTGCTCGAATAACCGCAACCTTGTTGGACGAGTTTGTAGTAGTCAGGTGTGTTCGACAAATTATCGTGTGAACTTTTTTTTCTCATGTGCTAATATTATATTAATTGCAGGGTGGCTATACGTTGCCGTCAGCTCTTCCAACGGTTTTATGCCCAGATGCCTCTGTCGTTCTCAGTACAAGGTTTTTGAATACCATGCTGACATACACGTCTTCACCATTTGTAAACTTTTTTATTATTGAAGGTGGAATACTTTGCCTCCCAACGAACAAGAAGAAGTATTTCCGGCATTGGCACCAAACTTTGTAGCAGAGATACGATCAATGAGCGATTCGGAAAGTTTCATTCATGACAAAATGTGTACATGGATTGACGCAGGAGTCGAAGAAAGTGATGCACTATTTATTAGCTATGTTTATTGATTACTGCTACTAATTATTACTGTTATGTTTATCCAGGAGGGTTTCTTGCTAGATCCTATTACCCAAAATGCAAGAATATATTCCAAAGGTAATCATTATATCCACTGGCGAGATTTGGGAAATCCTCCTACTATCTCTTCACAAATTCTGAATGGATTTGTTCTAGATCTACAATAAATTCTTTGAAGGTAATGTGTCATTGATAAAAAAGACCGGAGTAGCAGTTGTTTTTAATGTACTAATGTAACCATCCTTTTTAATATTTCTTTCATATCTTTCCAACATTTTCACCAAATGCACAAGTTTCCATATCAATGGTACCTTGCTAGAATTGGATAAAAGCTTATGGGTTGCATTCAGGGTTTGAGAAGAGAAGTGAGACAACATCTCCGGTTAGGGTAGTGGCAAAGATTATGACATACATTGTATTTTCAAAGTAAAAATAAATTTCCGGCTACGAATATTATGGCAAAAATTTTAATCCGCATTCACCACGTATTACGGAAAAAGAAAACATTTGTTCTGGTGATTCATAGACATAAGTTGTGAAGGGTGGCATCTTGAACCACAGTTTGCTTGCAAGGACACCTGTTACTATCACATTTAGATTTACAACAGCAGAGAGCTCCCGTGACTGTCGCTGAACTCTGCATCTTTGCTGCTTCCATTAGGGAGATTTGTTTATCTGGTATGTTCTCAAGTTCAGGGAACTCTGCACTTATGCTCTCTAGATCAGAAACATGATAACAGGTCCCCAAGATCCATAAGCACACCCAAGATGATAAAACCCCCCATCTAAAACCTCCATAACTTTACATGGAAGAGATCTTTGATCAATACCTGTTCTATCTACCCTTGGGATATTAACTCTAACGTAATCTCCAATGTCAAACTCTAATCATTGTCTCTTATTTCTACTACTCATTAGATTTTCCATTGCATGGATGTTTCGATGCACTTGCTGAACAGCAAGCTTGCATAAGACAGCATGACCTCGCCTTGCTAATTAGTTATTTAAACAATTGGGTAAGTATTGAACACAATATATTTTATAAAAATTATAAAGATTACCTTTCTCTCCTATTCCATCAGTATTATTAGCTGTATTATTACCCTCACTTGGATCTCCCA